CCCGGCCAGCTGCTCCAGCTGCAGCTCCACTGGGCCCACCCTTGCTAGGCTCTCCAGCACCTGGAGAAGGTTCCCCACCTCCCAGGGGGCTGCAAGCCAAGCTGGCCCGGTGGCCCATGGAGGGATAGCTGCCTCCGCAGCTCAGATAGTGCTGCAGGGAATGGGCTGGTGGTGGGGGTGGTGGGGGCTGGGCACTGGCTGGCCGCTGGTAGTGTTTGATGACCGTGTCCTGTCGGGGCAGGGCCCGCTCTGGTGGCGGACCTGGGGCGGCACCCGAGAAGTTGTAGAGCTGAGGGGAGGATGGCTCGGTAGCACTGGCAGCAGAAGAAGAAGCCAGCAAATTGAACTGAGTTGGGAGGTGGCGGGGAGGTGGAGGTGGATCTGGGGGACCAGGGCGGTAAGGAGGGGTCTGAGCAGGGCCAAGGCCAGCAGGCCCCAAGACACCACCCCCTGCCAGGCGCTCAAAACCCAATGAAGAGGGCACTGCGGGTGCCTGCGAGGGCTTCAGGTGGAGCACATCATGGGGAGACAGGAGCCCATTAGCAGGAGGACTGAAAGGTGGATCCTGGAGGCTGAGGGATGAGGGCACTGGGAAGGGGCGGCTGCCGAAGGAAGCTGGGTGCTGATAGGCAGACAGGGCAGAGGAAGATGGAAAGGTGCTGGAACCCGGGAGGGCACCAGAGATGAAGAGCTCCGTAGGGCCTGGTGTGTGCATGGCTAGGGATGAAGGAGAAGACCACAGGTCAGAGCGGACCACGAGACAGCCCTTCTCCAGCCCTCTGAGGACTAGCACTAGCTTACCTGTTTGCCAGGAAGGACTTCGGAACTGGGAGAGGAGAGAGGAGGCGGAGGGGCCAGGCTGAGGGCCCCGGGACTCCAGGGCCGAGATGAGGTTCATGACGGAGGCGTCAGGCCCTGTTGAGCCTGCGTGGTGGAGGCCAGTGTCAAAAAGTCCAGAGAGGCCTGGCAAGACACAAGAAGACAGGTCAGCCGGGCTGGGTGGAGACTGGAGGTCAGAGAGAAAGCCCTAAGCATGCTCAGTTCAGAGGTAGGTGGGAGAGAAGAGCAGACAAGCAAATGGGACACAATGCCTTGCAACGCAGTCCTGAGGCAGGAGGATCAGGCGTTCAAAGACCACCTGAGTAACTTACTGAGACCCCGGCTCAGAATTAAAGAAAGGGAGGGCCAGAGGGAAGGAAGGTGTTGCTAAGATTACATATGTAAGGCTCCAGGTTCGATTCCCAGCACCACAGAAACACCCACAAAAAGACAAGAGGCAGAAAACAGGGCAATAGCCAACTAGGAGAACCAGGGACCAATCTGGACTGGTTTAAAAAAAAAAATCGAGAGGGAAGAGAACCAATCAGAGGTGTGGGCGGCACGGCCACAGTGGTGGTGGGTGAGGTTACTCTAAGAAAAAAAGAGCGGGCCAAAGAATTGGAGCCAACACAGAAAAAAAGGAACCAAGGAGTCAAAAGCCTCGGGCAAACTCACGGGAAAGAAAGGACTGGGATGGGCTAGAGAGAGGAGGAAAAGCCTGGAAGAGAAGGTGGGATTTGGGGGCCCCTGATGGATGGCAGCCAATAGGAGTGAAAGGGGCGGGCACATAAAGGGATTGACGAATCCGGTGTGAAATAAAGCAGGGACCAGCAGCCTCAGAGGTAACCAATCAGAGAAGTGGTTTAAAAAAAAGAGAGAGAGAGGGCCAGGACCAAGGGCAAGGCCAATTAGCAGGGGCGGAACTTTTAGCAACCAATCAGGTGTCTTGGAGGGCGGGCCGGCCCCATCCCTCCCGGATGGGGACCCGTACCTGCCGGGTGGTGGTTGGTGGCATAGCTTTGTAGTGGGTGGGGGGCCGCGTAGGCCTGGCGGTGCAAGATGTCGGTTTCTGGGTGCGAGGTCCGGGAGCTGCCGTAGACCAAGCTGAGAGCAAGGGAGAGATGTAAGAATCTCTTCTCAAGCTACCCTCTGAGAAGAGAGCTGGGGGAACCTCCCACTTGACTAGAGGTGTTACTCCAAGGAACCCTGAGATAACACAAGGGAATCCAGCTGCCCCATGCAGGAAGCACAAAAACGACCCTATTCTTTGGAACCCTTAAGAGTCCCACGTTTGCAAATACAGGCATACAGGGACAGAGGAAGTGGGGGGGGGGGGTCTACAGTAGCCAGTGAAAGGCGTGGTCCTCCCCTGGCACCCTCCTCAGCCACAACAGAACCAAAGGTCCAACCCTGCAGGGACACATGGACACCCCAAGCCCCGCTGGAACAGCACAGACCCTGATCCAGGCACGCCAGAAGCAGGAGGCAGCTTGTGTTCCAAATGGCAAGGGGAGAAGGTGGAGAGGGGACAGGACCCAGGGAAAGTCCCAGGTACAAGTACTGACGTGAATTTGGTACATCCCTAGGGGCTGAGGCTCAAGTGCACAGGCTTAGGCAAAGCCAGGTGCATGAACAGACCGGAGCTCAATTCACAAGTGGGAAAGAAAAGATCCTGAGTGTGAAGTCCCACTCAAAAAATTTGTACACCCTGGGCTAACCCAAGTGCTAAGGGGGAGGGGCAGAAGGGCAGGTGAACAGTGAGGACGCGCAACACAGATTAAAGGCAAGAGGCAGGTTCGAAGGTGAACATGCGGCTAGCCACGCGTGCAAAGGGACCACGCGAACACAAACGAGGAAAAGATCTGAGTCTACCCCAAATCCGTGGCCCTGGACCGGAGGGCAAACAGTGTACCATCATCCAGGATTCTCAGGATTTGCGGGAGGTGGGGAGAAGGGGGCGTGTCCCTAATCCCAGGACCCCCCCAACACACAGAAACCTAGTTTAAGAAGGGGGCGGGGCTCCGTGCCCACTCTGCGCGCGGAATTTCTTGGAGGGGGGAGGGCCCGAGTGGCCCAGCCTCGCTCAGCCCCGGAACAATAGGACCTGGAAGGGGGTGCGCGCCCCCCAGGTCTGCGAGCTAATTCTCCTTTCCTCCCACCTTTGCAGTTGCAGAGCCAGGGGCGCCCAGGAGGAGGGGTCAGCAAGCCGGGAATCCAAAAATGAGGGGCAAGTCCAGGCCTTGCATTGCCAATCCTTCCCATCTTCCCAAGGCCTTCCCGGTTCGAATTTGTTTTTGTGCCTTGCCTGCTTCGTTTCTCTTTTGCAAGCCGGAGCTGGCTTTGGCGGAGTTTGCAATTTGCAAACTGGGGCGGCGGCGTTGTTACAAACCCAAAGAAGGCCGCTCCCTTGCAAAAGCCGGAGGGGGAGTTGGCGATGCACGCGTCGCCGGGCGGGCCCCAGGCCCAGGCCCGACAAGAACCCCCCACCTCTTGGCCCGTTTCTCCAGGTCCCCCTCAGCTTCTTACCTAGCTTTCGCTGACCTCTCGTAACTCCATCCCGCCCCGGCGCCGAGTGGGTCCCCGAAGCCGGCGCTGGGGTAGTTCCTGTCCATGAATTGGCCGCGGTGGAAATTGGGGGGAGGGGGAGGGAGGGGGAAAGGAGGGGGCGCGCGCGCGCTCTCCTCCGCCGCCGCTCCCTCCGCTGCTTTTTTCCTCTCCCTCTTTTTTTTTTTTTCTTCGCGGCCACCGAAGGTCCGGGAAGGCCCCGGGCGGGGGAGGGAGGGGGCAGGGATGGAGGGGCGGGCAAAGGAGGGGTGCAGCCGCTGAGCCAAGGAGGGGGGGTTCCCCCTGGAGGAGGGAAAGGGGGGAGGAGGGACCCCGCTGTCTCCGCCTTTGCCCCGCCGCTTGCAAGAGAGAAGGGGGACGCGCACTCGGGAGGGGGCGTCCCGGACGGCCCCGGAGTAGGTGCAGGCGCTGGGTGCTCGCTCTTTCGCCGCCGCCGCCGCCGCCTCCTCCTCCTCTGCGCTCACGGTGCAGCCATCTTTGCACAAGGCGGCTGGGGGAGGGGGGAGGGGAAGGGGGGCGGGCGGCGGGGTGTCTGGCTGCGCTCCGCTTCCTCCCACAATCCCGTGCAAATGCAAAAAGAGAGAGAGAGAGAGAGAGAGAGAGAGAGAAGCACTAGCGGAGCCGGGGGGGGGGGGGGGGAGGGAGAAAGGGAGAGAGAGAGAGAGAGAGAGAGAGGGAGAGAGGAACGAGAGAGAGCGAGCACTAGCGGAGCCTGGGGGTGTAGGGCACAGCGCCCGTACAGAAATCCAGCTCCACCGCGCGCAGATGCGCCCAGGAACAGGGTTCAGTTCGTTTGCATTTTTATTTTTCTCTAATTGTTTCAATTTTGAGTTGGGGGGTTTCTTTCTTTTAAGTCTCTTCCTTTTCAAAGGGTTTTTAGGTAGATAGACGCTCAGCTCAACTTCATTTCCCCGAGTGCAACACAATCCTAACACCCCTTTTACAGCACATAGCAAACGCGCCCTCCACCTTTATGCTGGATTACGAACCGCCCAGGTGCCCGAGTGGAGAAACACACGAAGACGGGGGTGTGCATGGGCCTGGTTCTCTGCGTGTACGCTCCCCACGACACCAGTGGGGGACAGTCGAGTCATGTCCAAGTTTCTAAAGGAGCCTGCCCACTCCGAGGCAGGGCCGCTGATCAGGAAAGGGGGGGGCGAGAGGTAGGGGCATGGACTCCGCAACAGGATGGTCAGGGACATGCGTGTATCCGTGCGTGGCGGAAACACGTGTGTCATGTAGACCTCGGGTCCGACGACCCTGACTCCCCCACGCACACACTGATGAGGAATCGAAGAGGCCCAGCGACTTCCGGAATCCGCTGTGAATCAGGGGCACAGTTCGGGAGCCCGCTTTCCGGAGCAGGTCTTCAGTGAGGCCTTCTGAGGCTACCCGGGGTGGGGGTGGGGAGTGTACAGTGCGGAGTCAAACAAGCCCCCTCCACCAAGACCACACCGACCCGCCCTTGGTGCCTCAGCCAATCCTGGATCCTGTAGGCACAAGCCCCACCTTCCTGAAAAGCTGCACTCTTCCAGGCTGGTCCACGCCCCTACAGACAATTGCGTAGGGCCCGCCCTGCCCTGCAAGCCCCGCCCCTTGTAGATTCCCAAAGCACCAAACCCTGCCCTTGGGGACACACCCCTCCCACGCGTGGCCTTTCTCCGCACTATACCCCTTGGAGAAGCCCCACCCCGTACCTGGAATAAGGGGGCGGAGGGGCGTCATGCACACCCGAGGCTGCTAACGCCTGCTCGTAAGTGGGAAGGCCTGGAGGTAAGGGTGGAAACAAGGGCGTCGGGGGAGTCAGGGGACTGATGAGCCCGGTCCTGCGGACAGAAAGAGAGTGGTTAGTATAAAAGCTGCCATGGAGTTTAAGAGCACTGGCTGCTCTTGCTGAGGACCCAGGTTCCTTTCGTAGCACACACATGGCGGCTCATAACAATCTGTAACTCCAGTCCCAGAGAATCCGACGTCCTCTTATGACCTCTGCTTGTACGAGGCGTACATGTGGTACATATACATACATGCATGCAAAACACCCATACACATAAAATAAATCTTTGGAAGAAATGAAACAAAACCTACATGACCAAGGGGTTACAGACCAAGAGACTGAGGGTGGGAGGGGACAGAGGGGAAGAGAGATGGCCCAGAAAAGTACCTCAAAGGACAGCCCGATGGACATAGACAGGTAGACATGAAAATGAGCCTCGAATGTACACTCTCATCCACAGAAACATGGGAGCACCAAAGTAACAACATCAGGTGGACAGACAGGACAAAGTTCAGCAGAGCCACACAGACAGAAACACAATTCTGAAACATTTAGTTCCAAAATTTCCCAAATCCACTCTTTTAGCTAAGGTCTCCTAAGCTGGCTTCAAAACTTCCAACAACCCTGCCTGGCCTCCTAAGCATTGGAACTGCATGTGTGAGCCACCCTGCCCAGGTTCCAAATCCATTCTTTTACATCTTAATAGATTTTTTAAAGATTTATTTACTTATTTATTACGCAGTGTTCTGTCTGCATGTATGCCTGCAGACCAGAAGAGGGCACCAGATCTCATTGCAAATGATTATGAGCCACCGTGTGGTTGCTGGGAATTGAACGCAGGACCTCTGGAAGAGCAGCCAGTGTTCTTAACCTCTGAGCCATCTCCCCAGCCCTAAATTTCTATAATTAAAGTACAGCTATGTATTCTATGGGTGTGCACACATGCTAACACACAAATGATGGTCAGAGGAGAACTTGGGGGAGGGTTTTCTCCTCCCACCACACAGGTCCTTGGACTAGAACTTCAGGTTGTCAGGTCTAGGGGGGCCCCAGAACCCAGGCCATCCTAGTCCCTGCATGGGCAGCCTTTCCACAGGCCTTCCACTGCTGACCCTACACCTTCACTTCTCTTTCCAGTTTATTTTGAGAAAGGTTCTCCTTAAGTTCCCCAGGCTAGCTTTGAACTCACATCAGAGTGGAAAGGTCTTGAAAATTTTTAGATCTTCCTGAAATGACAGGAAGGAAGCGCCGTGATACCCAGCTACTGCTATCAGATACCCTGTGAGCCCCTGCTGATGTGACCTGCACCCATGGGAAAGGCAGTGCCACAGACAGCGATGGACAACAGCCCCCACTTGCATTCCACCCAGTGTTGACCTCTCTGAAGCCTGGTTCTCGGAAGACTGTTAGGTCTCAACTTCACATCGACTTACTCTCCTTAGGCCCGTGGCTCCAGACTGGTCTTGCCCCTCAGATCAAGCCTCCTCCCTCCCACTTTGCTCTCCATCATTCCCCCCCTCCTGGAAGACCCCTTACTCTTGCTGACTGGACTCCTGCACTCTGAGTCGGCGCTGCCGTCGGTAGTGCAGATACCAAAAGGCTCCCAAGCCAGCCAAGACGATGAGCAGGATCCCAGAGGTGAGTCCCACCGCCAAGCCTGCAACATCTACTCGTCCACGCCCTGTGGGTAGAGGGTACCACTGTCCCAGGGGCTGCTACCTCCTCCAGCTTCTCTATTCTTTTCCCTAAGGGCATGGGCTAGGAAGCAAGGCTGCTCTGAGTTCCCTTCCTGCTACTCTGGCCTCAGGCAACAAACACTAAGGCTTTCTCAGAGCATCTGTTTCTTGCTTTGCGGAACGGGAACATGAGCCCTACCAGTCTATCATGAAAACTCACTGAGATCTGAGTAGGGAGCCATGGCTTCGGCCTGTCATCTCAGCGGTTTGGGAGGCTGAAGCTGAAGTCTAACGGTGAATTCAAGGTCAGCCTGGGTAAGTTAGCTAGACCCTGTCACAAAACCACAAATGAAAAGGGGTTTGGATGTGGGCTGCTCTCTCAGTGGTAGAGCAGCTGGCAGTGCACTTCAGGCCCCAGGTTCATCCCTACTACTGGAGAAGGGAGGGAGGGAGGGAGGGAGGGAGGGAGGGAGGGAGGACAGTTCATTGCAAACATGCTAATGGCAGATCTTCTACTTCAGCTGAGCTGTGTCAGCACGGCACAAGAAGAAGGGGCCGTTCCACAGGACGGCTTCAGCATGTACAGGGATAACAATAGATAAGCTGGCGGACACCTTGAAATATGGAGGTGTCGAACCCCTTCAACAAACTAAGGATGCAAAAGGAGACTTTAACATCCTTGCCCTCAGTCTGACGTGGTTTGCTTTTGGCTCTTTTTATTTTTAAATATGTTTATATGCTTTTTGTCATGCTGGAGACTGAAACTAGGATTTTTGTTCTTCTTCTTTTTGGTTTTTTTTTTTTAAATATTTATTTATTTATTATGTATACAATATTCTTTCTGCGTGTATGCCTGAAGGCCAGAAGAGGGCACCATACCTCATTTCAGATGGCTGTGAGCCACCATGTGGTTGCTGGGAATTGAACTCAGGACCTTTGGAAGAGCAGGCAACGCTCTTAACCACTGAGCCATCTCTCCAGCCCCTTCTTTTTGGTTTTTCAAGACAGGGTTTCTCTGTATAGTTCTGGCTAGCCTAGAACTCACTCTGTAGACCAGGCAGGCTTTGAACTCACAGAGATTGATCTGCCTCTGTCTCCGGAGTGCTGAGATTAAAGGTGTGCATCACTGCTGTTCCAATGAACGTCTAGCTTTAAAAAAAAAAATTATTTTTGCAGGGGGATGGTGGCTCACACCTTTAATCCTAGCACTCAGAAAGCGAGGCAGGCAATCTCTGTGAGTTCAAGGCCAGCCTGATCTACAGAACAAGTTTCAGGACTGGCTCCATAGCTACTGAGAAACCAAAAAAAAAAGAAAAAGAAAAAAGAAAAAAAGAAAGAAAGAAAGAAAGAAAAGAAGAAGAAAAGAAAAAAGAGGGTGTTGGATCCCCTAGAACTGGAAGTGGTGGTTGTGACCACTATGTAGGGCTAGAAACTGAACCTAGGCCCTCTAACACTCTCTAGCAAGTATTCTTAATCCCTGAGCCATCTCTCTAGTCGCCTATTGGTTTCCTAAATAATCCGTTCTATTATTTTATTTGTATTTGTGTGTATGTGTAGGGGAGGTGGTGCACATGTGTGTGGATGCTCAGAGATCAAAGAAAGGCACTGGACCTTCTGGAGCTGCTGGAATCATCACCAGTTGTGAGCAGCACTCAAATGGGGTCCTGGGAACCAAGCTGAAGTATTCGACAGCAAGCACTCTTTAGTGTTGTGCCGTCTTTCTAGCCCTTACTGCTGATTAAATAAGTGTGTTTGTGTGGACAACTTCCTGGTTACTTCTCTTACTCTACCATGTGGTACAGGTGACAAGCACAGTCACCTGCTGAGCAGTCTCACTGGGGTGCCTTGTTTTTAGAGACATGTTCTCTCATTAGGAGGGGGCTCAGTGACTTGGGCGAGCTGGTTACCCAGGGAGCCCCACGGACCCTCCTGTCTCTCCTCTCCCACAGTGGGATTACAACCCAGCTTTTCCCTGGAGAGTCAGGGGATCAAACTAGGGTCCTTGGGGTTGCATGGCCAGCACTTTACCAACTAGTCCATCTCTCCAGCCCTTGTTTTTGTTTTATTGAGACATGGAGTGTCAAGCTGGCCTCAAACTTGATATGTAGTACAGGCTGGCCATGTACTAACAATCTTTCTGCTTTGGCCTTTGGAGTAGCTTGGATTGCGAGGCCAAGGCCGGGGCCATCAAATCTGGCTACCTCCTATCTCCACCTCAAACCTTGCTTTTAGCTTGCAGTGAGAAGATAGGACTTTTAAAGACGGGCAGATTTTAGGTGATCCAAGGAGCCTCTAGGCCTTGCTAGGATTGTAGACAAGGAACTATCTCCCCTAGCAACCGGTTCCACTGTGAGGACTACAGTACAGACCCAGGGCCTGTTGCTAAGGTGCATCTACCCCTAGCAACCAGGCCATGAGGGGGTGGGGCAGCTGGAGCCTAGAGGGGGTCCTTCAGCTGGGCAGGAGGCTCTGGTCTTCCAGCTAGGTACAGTTGCTAGGGAGAAGGCCTCCTTAGCAACCAGGCAGACTGTGGCTGGCATGGGGCTGTGGGGGAGGGGAAGCCAGCCAGGTAGTGCTTCTGACTTCCTCTGTCTGGCCTGGCCAGGGCCTGTTGCTAAGGAGCAGCCCCCCTTAGCAACAAGGCTCAAGCCAGGATGAGGACTTCAGAACTCAGAGGAGGGGCTGGGGTAGGCAAACTGGACAGGTGAGAATGGCCAGGCTTCCTACCCGAGCTCTGTTGCTAGGGCACAGCCCCACTAGCAACCAAGATGCTGGTAAGGGGCTGGGGCTCTGGAATCTAAAGGAGGACCCAGGTTGTCCTATCAGAGCTTGTCCTTCTGATAGGCCCATGACAATAACACACCCACATGCCCCCTCCAGGGGTTGGGCCCTCCTATGAATCTGCATGCAGTTGTGCTGGGTTTTCAGACAAGGGCCATAATGAAAAGGGAGGGGACACCTTGTCAGTCATCTCTGGACAGCATGGGATTTGAGGGAAGGAGGTCCTTGTTTGTGTGTGGGGAGACTTTGGATTGAACTCTAGGACTAAGGGCCGCTTCCCCATCATGGAGTGAGAGGACTGAGGACCACTCACCTCCCTTGCCATTGTAGGTGTAACGTTCCCAATAGCGTTCCTAGAAGGAGGGGACGAGAAGGGGAAAGCAGCAGCTAGACATGGAGCAGTCCCCACAGCCAGTCCATGCTGGTATTTGAAACCCCAGGGAGGCAGAGAGGGTCCTCTGAGGCTCTCACCGTCAGTGTGTTATCCTCAAAGTATTCCCGGGCCTCCTCCCAGGAGCACCTCTCCTCGTGACACTCCCGCTCCAGGTTCCCAGGTGTCAGCAACTCCAGGTCCCAGTGGTTAGCCCTAGGAACCCGCCTGTGGCCAACTAGGAAACTCTGGGCCTCCGGAGGATTCAGGAAGATGTCAAGAACTAAGGACATCAGGGTCAAAAGCAGAGAGTCCTTAGGATTGAGGACAAGGAAGATAGTTATGGGGTTCTGAGGGGTGAGGGCCAGGCTTGGAAACCCCTGGATCTGAGCAAGGAGGGCCGGGGTCTGGGTAGTTGGGTATGAGGGTGAAAAACTGGAGTCTAGAAATCTATTTCTGAAGGAGGAAGGCTGAGGCTGGACTTGTGGGTCGGAGGGAAGAGGCTGGGACCTAGACTTTTGGGTCTGAGGGAGAGCTAGGGTCTGGATTCCTGGATCTGAAGGAGAAGGGCCAGGGTCTGGGAAGCCAGGAAGTATCCTGGGTAGGAGAAGGCAGAAATTAAACCTCTGTAAGGCTCTTCCTCAAACACTCACCTTGGTTTTGCTCTTCATAAGGTAAGGTGTCCAGGCAGGTGGTCAATCCCATATAGACTAAGAGCAGGGAAGGATGGCCCCTCATGTTGTGTGGATTCCCAAATGCCTCAGCAGAGTTATGAGGCAAGAACTCCCTGCCTGGACTCTGCAGTCAGTGAATGAAAGAAAAAGCAAACACTCAATCTGTAACCTATGCCAGACACTATTGGTCTGTATCAACTCATTTTAATTCTCAAAACAATCCAATTTGAACAATTTCCTGCCACTGTCACCAGGTGGTAAAGCGACTTGCCTACGCACCAGGTATTCGAATGTGAGAGGAGGGAGGACCTCAGAGATGGCAGTGCCTGCCTCATGATGAGCACAAAGTCCGTGTGCTCTCGTCTGGCCCTCTGCCGTATCCACAGTACCATGTGACACTGTAAGCAATTTCAACAGGTTCATCCGCAGCCCTGGTCCCTTCCAACCTGGCAGGTTCCATTCCAAGTCAACCTCCCTCTGCCGTTGCCTCATCCAACCCCAGAGATCAAAGATTATAGGACAAATGAGGTCCTAAATTTCTAGATCTGAGGTCTTGCGGGAACGCGACCCTGAACTCCAGGGCCCAGGATTTAGGGTCCCAAGTCTCTGGATCCCAATGGTGTGGGAAGTCAGGACACCAGAGCTCCCCTCCACACCCCAAGTTTCTCTGAGAGCAGTATCCACTTACCTGCCCAGACCTGGGAGCCCTGCCTCTCTTCTGTAATGAAGACCCCCTGGGTCAGCAGTACCCAGCTGTGAAAAAGGGGAGGGGAGAGGAAGGAGGGGTGCTTCTCTTCGGTAACAAGGCCCAATCCCGGCTTCTGGCAGGGGGCGGGGCTACTGGTTACCTGCTCTGGGAGGGACTCAGGTAAGAGACAAAGTACTTAAAGGAACCTTAGGACCAAGGGCTCCGGGGACACAGTCCCACATAGGAGCAAGACTTTGCACATTACGGAGGGATCTAAGGAACCTTATTAGAGTCTCCTCCTCTCTCCTTTCCCAGCCCGGCTCTCTCCCTACAGACAATTTGCTTGGCAGAGCCAGGAAAATAAATCTTGAGTCTCTAGAGATCTACAAACTGGTGGGAACGGAATGCTTTGATTCCAGGAATAACTGGGCGGTACCACATCATATCTGTTTGCTGAGGGTGACTGACGTGGACAGCTTGGCCTCGTGATTTTTAGATTATTGCTTATTCTATAACTTAGGCAAAATCGTCTCTTAAGATGTAATGGGAAAAATAGGTATATATTTGGGAAAGTGGGTATCAGAATATCTGGGCGAAGGAGTTAGTCCTTAAACTCAGACTTGAAAAGAATCAAAGAAACTACACCACTCTGCCTAACACAGGTTAAGTGGTCTCCGATAGTCAAGCCACTTTCGCTCACCGGAACCTTCGAGTTGTCCCTCACGTTTCGGTGGGGGGAAGAGAAGAAGAAAGGACTTACCAAACCACGAGAAGCGCCTCCACTTCTAGGGGCAGTATTATTTCCGGTGTCTGCTGCTGAGCGGAAGTGGGAGGGGTGTAGTGGAAAAATAAAACAGTACTCTTTTCCGGTTCGGGACACAGTTGAAGCCACTACGGATCGGCTAACCGTTTGTGAGGTGAGCTGCAGGCGGTGTGGGGTCGCGTCGCTAAGAGTTCCTTCTTGTGGGTGGGATATCTGAAGTTCCGAGGGACACAGGATAAGGTTTCGCACTCCGACTTCCTGTTAATCATTAACAGAGCGCTCTGACTCCTTGAGTTGGAAGCTGAACTACATCTCCCAGGATGCCTTGCAATATGTCGTCCTCATCCTGACCACTCTTAGAAAATGTAGTTCCGTAGTGGAAAAGGGTCCGTACCAGTGCAGAAATGAATGTAGGATTACCTGGAATAGTGAAGAGTTGAGGCAGGATCCCTTAATCCGCTTCAGTTTTCCAGATAGTGGTGAGGAGGGCGATGAGCAGTAGTGGATAAGGTCCTAAAGGATCCTTGAAGGAAGTGAATTATTTTACTTGAGACAGAGTCTCACGTAGCCTTCGCTGTCCCAGAACTCACTATGTAGTTCAGGCTGGCCTCAAACTCAGAGAGATCCACCTGCCTCTGCAGCCCCAAGTGTTCGGATTAAAGGTGTTCACCACACCCAGCCACTTTTTCCCATTTGTTTATTTTTAATTTTTATTATTGCTTTTCGAGATAACCTTGTGTAACAACCCTGGCCACCATGGACCTCACTTTGTAGACCAGGCTGGCCTCGAACTCACAGAGATCTGCCTGACTCTGCCTCCCAAGTGCTGGAATTTAAGGTGTGGACCTCCCGGTGATTTGTTTTTTGAGAGAGGGTTGCTTGCAGTGCAGGATGGCAGGATCTCTGTATGGAGATTAAGATTTATTTATAATGGGCGTGGCACCCCTATATCCAGAGAGCCTGGGGTGTTTGAGTGAAAGCGTCATCCCAGCCCCTGGCATCCATATAGTCTAAAAGTCTGGAATATTTGCGTGGAAGTTCCATTCCAAGCCCCCTCCCCTGGGAGTTGCCTTAGTCCAGACTCCACCCCTGAGAAAACCTGCCAAAGGATGACCCCTCCCCAGAGATTCACAAGACCCCTCCCACAAGGAATTTAAACTGCCACCCAAAGAACAAACTCGTAGTTTTCTGGTCTTCCTTCCCCCAACTCCTCTCTGGGGTCCTGGAAAGCTGTCTGGGAGCATTGGTATCCAGTAAACCTGGGCTTTTTCTAATTCTGTTTGATTTGGTCTGATTCAGATGATTGCATTGTTAGAGAAGTTTGTAGGCGGTGCAGAAACTTTTTAGTGGACACATCTTTAACCCCAGAACTAGGGAGGCAGAAGTAGGTGGATCTCTTAGGGAGTGAGGCCAGCCTGGCTCACATATGCTGCTCCAGGCCAGCAAGAGCTACATAGTGAGACCCTATCCCAAAAATGGAAAAGGATTTTATGTGAATGAGTGAGGTTTTTGATTTTTTGTTTTGGTTTTGCCAGACAGGGTTTCTCTGTGTAGCCCTAGCTGTCCTGGAACTCACTCTGTAGACCAGGCTGGCCTTGAATTCACAGAGATCCGCCTGCTTCTGCCTTCCAAGTGCTGGGATTAAAGGTGTGTGCCACCACCACCCGGCTTGAATGACCGTTTTGCCCTGCAGGTATGATTGTGCACCACTCGAATACGGTGCCTATAGAGGCCAGAAAAGGGCCATGAGCTCACCCGGAACTAGAATGAATCACGAGCTGCCGTGTGTATGTTAGACTCAAACCCAGGTCCTCTGGAAGAACAGCCAGTGCTCTTGGCCTCTGCCCAATCTCATCTGCCTCTTCATTTGTTTTTGTTTGTTTTGTCTTTGTCTTGAGACAGGTAGGCCTGTACTGAAATTATAAGCATGCAGCCACCACTCCTAGCTCATGTTGTTCTTATTTTTCAGTGAGCTTTATTGAGATATAATTTCACGTAATATATACTTTGCCCACTTAAAGCAAACAATTCGAAGTGTATTCACAGAGTTGTATGGGCATCACCACTAACAATTTTAGAGCATGTTCTCTGGGTGTGGTAGCACAAACCTGTAATCCCTCCTGTTCCAGGGGATCTAATGCCCCCTTCTGGCCTCCAAGAGCACCAGACAGGAGCCTGCTGTGCAGATCACTCCGTGGCCTAGGCAGCAAAATCAGAAGTTCAAGGTCATCCTCAGGCTGCCTATAGTATCAGAGGCCAAGCTGAGCTGTCTCAAGTCAACTTTAGGACATGTTTAACATCCCCAGAGAAATCCTGTCCTACATTCTTTGTCACCTCAGTCTTTCCTACCCCCAGACTTTGGCAGCCTCTGAACGCATATGAATTTGCCTGATCTGCACATGTCTCCTAACTGCAGTCATACAGGTGTGGGCTCTGTGGCTGGCTTTCCTCACTCGGCATGTTGTTTCTAGGCCCTCCATGCTATATCCTGACGCCTGTCTGTGGGTGCACAGTATTCTGTTACATCCTGACTGTCTGTCTGTGGGTGCACAGTATTCTCTTACATCCTGACGCCTGTCTGTGGGTGCACAGTATTCTGTTACATCCTGACTGTCTGTGGATGCACAGTATTCTCTTACATCCTGACTGTCTGTCTGTGGATGCACAGTATTCTCTTACATCCTGACTGTCTGTCTGTGGGTGCACAGTATTCTCTTACATCCTGACGCCTGTCTGTGGGTGCACAGTATTCTGTTACATCCTGACTGTCTGTGGATGCACAGTATTCTCTTACATCCTGACTGTCTGTCTGTGGATGCACAGTATTCTCTTACATCCTGACTGTCTGTGGATGCACAGTATTCTCTTACATCCTGACTGTCTGTCTGTGGATGCACAGTATTCTCTTACATCCTGACTGTCTGTGGATGCACAGTATTCTCTTACATCCTGACTGTCTGTCTGTGGATGCACAGTATTCTCTTACATCCTGACTGTCTGTCTGTGGATGCACAGTATTCTGTTACATCCTGACTGTCTGTCTGTGGATGCACAGTATTCTGTTACATCCTGACTGTCTGTGGATGCACAGTATTCTCTTACATCCTGACTGTCTGTCTGTGGATGCACAGTATTCTCTTACATCCTGACTGTCTGTACACAGTATTCTCTTACATCCTGACTGTCTGTCTGTGGATGCACAGTATTCTGTTACATCCTGACTGTCTGTGGATGCACAGTATTCTCTTACATCCTGACTGTCTGTCTGTGGATGCACAGTATTCTCTTACATCCTGACTGTCTGTACACAGTATTCTCTTACATCCTGACTGTCTGTCTGTGGATGCACAGTATTCTCTTACATCCTGACTGTCTGTGGATGCACAGTATTCTCTTACATCCTGACTGTCTGTCTGTGGATGCACAGTATTCTGTTACATCCTGACTGTCTGTCTGTGGATGCACAGTATTCTCTTACATCCTGACTGTCTGTCTGTGGATGCACAGTATTCTCTTACATCCTGACTGTCTGTCTGTGGATGCACAGTATTCTCTTACATCCTGACTGTCTGTCTGTGGATGCACAGTATTCTCTTACATCCTGACTGTCTGTCTGTGGATGCACAGTATTCTGTTACATCCTGACTGTCTGTACACAGTATTCTCTTACATCCTGACTGTCTGTCTGTGGATGCACAGTATTCCCTTACATCCTGACTGTCTGTACACAGTATTCTCTTACATCCTGACTGTCTGTACACAGTATTCTCTTACATCCTGACTGTCTGTCTGTGGATGCACAGTATTCTCTTACATCCTGACTGTCTGTGGATGCACAGTATTCTCTTTCATCCTGACTGTCTGTCTGTGGATGCACAGTATTCTCTTACATCCTGACTGTCTGTACACAGTATTCTCTTACATCCTGACTGTCTGTGGATGCACAGTATTCTCTTACATCCTGACTGTCTGTCGATGCACAGTATTCTGTTACATCCTGACTGTCTGTACACAGTATTCTGTTACATCCTGACTGACTGACTGTACACAGTATTCTGTTACATCCTGACTGACTGACTGTACACAGTATTCTGTTACATCCTGACTGACTGACTGTACACAGTATTCTGTTACATCCTGACTGACTGACTGTACACAGTATTCTGTTACATCCTGACTGACTGACTGTACACAGTATTCTGTTACATCCTGACTGACTGACTGTACACAGTATTCTGTTACATCCTGACTGACTGTCTGTAAACAGTATTCTGTTATATCCTGTCTGTCTGTGGATGTACAGTATTCTGTTGTGTGAGATACGGCACATTTCACTTCTCCTTCAGTTGATGGACCGTTAGAATTGTTTCGACTTTTTGGCTGTTGCAGCTGGTGCTACTGTGCATATGTGTGTGCTACTGTACACATGCATGTGCGACTGTGCACATGTGTGTACAACTGTGCACATGTATGTACGAGGTTTGTGTGGATGTGTTCTGACATTCCCTGGGAGTAAGGTCTGTTGGTCACGGCTGTGGCGTCCTCCGGAAGAACTTCCTCCTCACATTGATGTGTGTGCCTCTCAGTTCCTCTTCATTCTCACTAATGATTTATTTATTTTTGCCTGCATGTATGTCTGTGTGAGGGCACCAGGTCCCCTGGAGTTACAGACAGCTGTGAGCTGTCATGTAGGTGCTGGGAATTGCACCCCACTCCTCTGGAAAAGCAGCCAGTGTTCTTAACCACCTCTCAGCCCTCTCTCCAGTCCCCTATGCTCACTTAACTGTTGGTTACACATGGTTATAATAGTAGGGCGTGAACTGGTTCTTCGTTGTGGTTTTTATTTTAATTTTGTGTTTGCGTGGTGCTGGGGATGAAATCTCTGAGTGTATGTCGATGCTCACAGAGGCCAGAAGAAAGCATTGTATTCCGGAGTTACAGGTGGTTGTGAGCCCTCAGTCATGGGTGCTGGGAATCGAACTCTGGTCCTTTACAAGAGCAGCAACTACTTTAAATCCCTGAGTTATCTCTTCAGCCCCAGCTTTTGTTTGTTTGGTTGTGTGGTTGGTTGGTTTTTGGTTTTGGTTGTTTTTAGTATTTCGAGACAGGATTTCTCTGTGTAGCTCTGGCTGTCCTAGATCTCACTCTGTAGAG